TTTAAGGTGCAATCACCCAAAAACTGGAAAACCAGGATGATTCTCCCTTGCTATAAAGCAGGAGATACAGCCAGTCCGTGGAGTGTTAGAAGCTGGAAAATCCATGAAAACCTCACAAAAACCTGTCTGCTCAGCATACCTGCTGCTGAGCCCCCATGTATCACAGGAATTTGCTCTGCAGGCAGGATTTCTAGATGTATTGCAAGCTGTACAGGTGGGTGTGTACATATTGTCTGTGTCATGATTACTGCTAAGTTGCCTGACTGGGGTTCCTGCCAAATAAGCAAACTGTCATTCAACATAGTCTGGCTTTCATATTTAGGGTAAAACAATGTCAAGGGCAATGTTTTCTCCAGTAACCTTTTCAGTTTCACCTGAGACCTCTAGGCACCTGTTGCTACTCTGCAGGCACAGAAAGCAGCACTGGGTGCACAGGCTGAACTCAGCGTACAAAGGCTCAGCAGTGCCACTGCCTGCGGCCAGACAGAAACCCACAGCACTGCGAGGGGGGTCTCTGTGGCAAGCACATTTCTCTCCTTCTCAGGATTTTTCATAGAGGTGCACAGAGAGAGATGAAAGAGAAAACTATTTCTATTTCTGCTCCTTGTTTTTCCCATGTGGAATGTGTTTGGAGAATTGTTTACCTGGAGTGAGTGCTTGGTTGGATTCTGGTGAGGATTTTCTGAGCCTGATGGCCAATCCAATCCACCTGTGGCTGGGCTCGAGAGAGGGTCATGAGCTGTGTTAGAGTTAGAGAAAGTAGCATGTAGTTTTAGTATCCTCCTTTTATATAGTATATTAATGTATTTTAGCATAGTTATAATAAAGAAATAATTCAGCCTTCTGAGTTGAGTCAGACATCGTCATTTCTTCCCATTTGGGTTTGCCTGCATTTACAATAGGTCTCCACCGACGTTTCTGAGCCATTATTTCTGTTGTACTCCAGCAGGCTCTAACTGTGGATTCAGACCCTGGGCAGCTTCCACAGTCTGTCTTTGCACATTTATAACATGCAACTAACTATCCTTTGTCTACATCTGTCTAGAAATTTGAGAAGTGCAAAGGTCCTTGACACCAAAAACAGGTGTTGATCACCCTCCAGGTATGTCTACATCACTGAAACTGTACTCTCTTACAGATCATGCCAAAGCTGGATTGAACAATGAACTCATTACAAAGGGAAATGCTTGAATGGCCATGGCTTGGGTTGCTCCATCACTCAGAGTTTGGAGTTTTCTTCACATTTCCTCCAATCTGCAGATAGCTTTTTTTCTTCACAATAGTGCTATTAACTGGCTAGCAGTTATTTTGTGCTGAAGGTCCCTTCATCAGTCTTGAGCTAAAATAATATCTTCAATATGGGACAGTTTCCTTGCTGCTTCATTAATTAGCAAGTCTAGGCAGCAGGACTGCTTCTGGGCAGAATTTTCTCTAAGTATTACACAGCTGGAAGTACAACTCTTCATGTTCCTTCTCATTACTACTATTAGCTTCCTCTTTCTTAGCCCAAAGGACATATTTAGTTGCATATTTCACTCCCATTTGCAGCAGGCTGACATTTATCTTCAAATGCGCCCAAAATTTACAGAGAATAATAATTTGACATGTATGATCTTGGAGAATCTCATCTTTTTTGTCAGTGATAAAATGTGGCTCTGGGCACAAAATCCTTTACTGCAATGAGATTTTCTTGTAAGCTTCACCAGTGATATTGGATGCTTGGAAACTTTTGAGAAGCAGCTTGACCTTGTTGCATTCAAGCTGTGCTCACTGGATTTGGATGAAAATCTGCTTAGTATTTCACATACCTTCTTTGAAGTTCTATCATGCCTACCACTGTTTGGGTTGTTCAGGGGCAATATCACTGTGAGTTTGACCCTGGGTCCAAAACTGGCATGGCATAAATTTGTCATCTTTTTACTGTGGGAGTTAAAGGCTGCAGGATGGATTTTGTGAGCTGCCTTTTAGCATGCACTGACCTGAGCTGTCAGAAGATCTACACCGAATGTGCTCAGACACGTCTGGTTTCGAAGTATCTGGAGTGTTCCTCCTCCAGCAGGGCGAGATGTTGACTTGTATCTCTTTCTGCTGCAGAATCAGGACATTCCTGCCCACAATGCGTTTACTCAGCAGATGGGATCGGCACTACTCATCCAGGCAGTTCCTAAATCAATGGAACAGAGGATTAACAGCATGTGGAGCATTCCCCATCCTCAGGCCTGGCATCTCCTGAGCAGTGTGTATAGCACTGGCTTTTTTCCAAACTCCTCCATTTATCATTATTCCTGACTGAACTGTGGTGGCTGCTATTCTCTTTTATCAAAAGAATTTTCTATTGGGCAACGGAAGTAAAGCAAGCAAAGAATGAAAAGAAAAGCAGAAAACTTCCACCACTGAAAAGATGGAGAAATGGTTTTAAAATCACAGTGAATATCCAGGAAGCATCCTGAGAGAGAAAAGGATTCAAAAGGTTGTGTGTGCCCTGGATGAGGTGGAACAACATACAGTCTTATATTACTTCTCAGTTCATTACTATAACCTGAAAAATAGGGATAAAAATTAGAAGTTCAAGCACATACTCTGCTATAGAAAAGCTGTTTCTGAAGCTGAAATTATTTGGGGTAATTTAGTTTGCTTGATTATGATAATTTCGGGTTGTGTTTGACCCAGATAAAGAATGGATCACTTTAAATATGAGGTTAGCCCTCATGTTCAGGGGCAACTAATCCTTCTGTAGAGGTAGATTAGTGTGTATAAATTATGTGTTCAAATTACAGAATTTCCTGAAATGCCATTGATTTTATACAAAGTAGAAAATGTCTGTAAGAAGAATCTGCTGTTGTAGGTGGTTGTGCTTTCACAGAGATTTTTTGTTTTAAGTCCAGAAATTGTAATACACTGGAAGTCTACTCATAATGTCTAATTTCTTGTACACTGTGTGTGTATCTGCATATGAGACTGAGGAAATGCTTACACAAGCAGAGTTCATGCTTCAAACAATTTTTTTTTTTAGCTCTTGTATTTGCGAAGCAACACCAATTAACTCTTACTCAAAATACCATTCCCTCAAATAAAACTGCCGCTATCTGCAGTTGTGCCACACAGCTCAGGACACTGCTCTTGCCACAAAACTCACCCAGGAAAGGCTCCTGTTTGCACTGGACCCATGCAGGTGCCTTAACCTTCCCATGTCAACCTGTGTCTAACCAGTCTTAATGTCTAGAAATTTCCATCTGGTGTTAATGGTGTTTCTCCACCATGGTAACAAGCAATCTAAGAGCACACCTGGTCTCATACAGATCAGGAAGATTTTAAATCAAAATCTTGTCAGCTGTTTGGTGCATAGTAAGTGTTGTGCCTCCTTTATCTTCTTTTATATTAAAACAGGGGGATATTAAATGAAACTAAAGTATAAATTCGCCCTTCCAGTGTCTTCCCCAAGTCTGCTACACCAGTGATATCCCTGCTGGCTTTGAACTGAGCTTCTGAGACCAGAGTCTTTGATATGATCCTTGCCCTCTCAGTCATGCTGCTTCCTAGAGGAGCCCGTGTCCCTGATCTGCTGACAGCCAGATTGCTATTTTTTCTTCAGCATTGCACTGAGGGGAGAAGTGACATTATGCTGTTTGCAGTGGGTTTTCTCCCCCACCCACCTCCCCTTTTAAAATTAATTATTAAATGCGATGCCAGGGACAAATTATTCTTGGGAGCTGAAAAACTGTGATCCCTCTAATAGGCTTGGATTATTTCCAGCTGGTTTTAAGCACCTTTCTCCATTAGCTGGAGAGGTGATTAGCATGAAGAGCCTCCTGACTGAAGTGTCTTTTCAGCATCTAAAGTCAGCTCTGGGGAGCAGGGCGGCCGAGCTGCGGGCTGTGCCCTCAGCCGAGGGACCCGCCCGCGTTCCCTTTCCCTAAAGCCGGGACGTGTCACCTGTGGGCTGTGCCAGGGGACCCTGGCCAGGGACAGCGCAAGGAACCGGGGTTAGGAGCTCTGCTGGCTCACGCTCTCTCCTTTAGCCACAGAATCACGGAACCAACTGGGTTGGAAAAGATTTCTGAGATTATCGAGTCCAACCTGCGGTCCATCACCATCTTGTCAATTAGACCGTGGAACCAAGTGCCACGTCCAATCTTTCTGTAAACACTTCCAGGAACGGCGACTCCCTGGACAGCCCCTTCGAATGTCTAATCACCCTTTCTATGGGGAAATTCTTCCAAATGCCCAAGCTAAGCCTCCCCTGGAGCAGCCTGATGCCGTTCCCCCGGTCCTGCGGCTGGTTCCCGGGGAGCGGATCCCGGCCGCGCCCTCCTGTCAGGGAGTTGCCGAGTGCCAATGTCGCCCTGGGCCTCCTTTGCTCCAGCTGAGCTCTCCCGGCTCCCTCAGCAGCTCCTCAGTGCGCTGTGCTCCAGCCCCTTCCCCAGCTCCGCTCGCTTTCTCCGCGCTCGACTGCCGGAACTCGGCAGCGCTGCCCGAACCCTGACCGGGAGCCGCCCGCGCTGCTCCAGGGCCGCTCCCTCGGGAGCGAAAACGCTCCAGGAAGCGCCCAGAGCACGCGGCGGTGCCGCGGCTGCGCCTCCTTGAGCGGCCCCGCGACACCGCCAGCTCGGGCCCATATCACCGCCGGTTCGGGCCCGTGAACCCCCGGTTCGGGCCCGTGACACCGCCGGTTCGGGCCCATGACCCCTCAGTTCGGCCCCGCGACACCGCCGGTGTCACCCGCACTGGGCACTCCGGGACGAGGCCAGCGGGTGCGCAGCGCCCCCTCCCGGCAGCGCCGCCGCGGGCACTGCCTGCTCGGGCCGCCACTGCCGAGCCGGGCAAGATTCCCGTGGGGGAAATCCGTGTTTTAATTGTTCTCTCTTTAATTACCGACTGTTCATAAACTAGAGACGGGCCCGCGAATAGGGCGGGCAGCGCCGCCGCCTCTCGGCGCGGTCCTCCTGCCCGCCGGGGGCGCTGCGGCCGCCCGGTCCCGCCCTGTTGCCCGAGCGGCGGTTCCCGTTCCGGGCGAGGCGGCGGCGTTGGCGCCGGGATGGATCGGGAGCTGCTGCGGCAGGCGCTGAACCACCACGGCCCCGCGCTGCTGTCGCTGCTCCGCGCCGAGCAGCACGACAACCCCGACTTCCGCGGGCTGCTGCCGCCGCCCGGGGCCGCCCCGGAGCCGCCCCGCGGGGCCCCGCCGGCCGCCTGGTGAGGGGCGCCGGGGCAGCGGCCGGGCGGGCCGGGAGGGGCCGCGGGGCGCGACTCACCGCGTTCTCCTTCCCCAGGAAAGAGAGGGCGAGCATCGACACCGAGATAAAGCGCTTCATCGCCAAGAAGGCGGATCTGCTGTTCGCGCACTCGTGGAAACCCAACGGGCCGATCGAGGACAGCATCGAGGAGAATGAGGGTGTGTGAGGTGTTGGGGTGGGGGGATCACTTAGTAAGGACTTGAATTTGCAGTGTCTTTAAAAACAGGCTTAAAATTTTTCCTGTTGATTTTTATAGGCTATGCGTAAGATTCCTGTTAGCACAGAAAATCATATTTTCACGTGTTTTGCTGTTGTGAAATGTTTTGTGATCTCGGGGTGCAGCTTGTAACTGGCTGTGCCCTTGTTGCAGAGTGTTACGCTGTCATGCCGCCCCTGGAGAGGTTCTTGGAGGTGCCCAGGGAGGAGAGGAGAGAGCTGTTCTTCCGCGACATCGAGCGGGGCGATATCGTGATTGGGAGGATTACATCTATCCGTGAATTTGGCTTTTTCATGGTGTTGATTTGTCTGGGAAGTGGTGTCATACGGGAAATTGCAGATTTGGAAATCACTGTAAGACACAGCTTTGGTCAATAGTTCATTTTTGACATTTGTTGCCTCTTGTGTTTCTTAATGGCGTGGACCGTGTAAAGGTAAAACAGCTTTGGGATGACGGGTAGTGTCTGACTTTGTGGACAGCTTGTGATACTTGCTCAGCCACTGAACACATCTTGCGGTGACCCGCATTATTGAGTTGAGAAGTTCATCATTTGTGGATGAGTGAATTTTCACTTGAACCAAGCCGTATTTTAAGAATTGCAGTTCTGATGTGCATTAATCTTAAAGCAGTATTTTGGCTTGCTCTTGGGGAGGGAAAAAAACCCAGCCCTGTGACTTCATTTATGACATTCCTGCTCTGTTCTGTTGCAGGCCCTGTGTCCTGTGAGGGATGTGCCTCCTCAAAGCAACCATGGAGATCCTCTGTCTTACTATCAAACTGGAGACCTTATCCGAGGTGAGTAGCTGCAGAAGTTGTCAGGAATGGGTTTGCCTCAGGTTTGAGCCATTTCTGTAATTTTATCCCTCCCTGTATTATTTCTCCAGCTGCGCTCAAGGACGTTGACCGTTACCACGAGAAGCTGGCGGTGTCCCTTTACAGCACAGCTCTTCCACCCAAGCTTTCCAGTACAAAGCTGGGTGTGATCACCTCTGATGACTTCCCACTGCATTATAAGTAAGGATATGCTGTTTGCCCACACTTGCTGGCTGCACTCAGGTTTTCTGAAGAGCATCTCTGACAGGCTGCCTGTCCCTTAAACTCCTCAGAGGGCTTTCTGATTTAATTGGCTGATCACATCCTCCTTGTTGTTTCTCCTTTTAGCATCCTTGTGTCTGGATATGTAGACATGGTTGACTTTTTAGCTTCTTTCCAAAAATATAAGGATAGCAAAAGGCAGGGTGAGATACCTGTTGCTTTTGGACTGTGTTAACAAACAAATTAAAAAAAAACCAAAATCTAGGGAGACTGAAATATTAATTGTTAGCAATTTAAAATTCCCCTTAGAAGATGGGGACTCAGCTGTCTGTAATATTTGTTGTGTTTTTGTATGTCCTGGCGATAGGGGGTGGGTGCCCAGATTTCAGAAGCTCATTTGAGGTAAAGGGCGTAAGGGTTGATAAATAGCAAGAAAATACATGCCTACAGAAGAGAGCAGTTTGTGAGCAATAGGGCAGATACCATATGGGCAATTTTATTCTAAACATAAGCGTGATGAAGTAGGGTGCAGGGCCTGAGGTCTCATTTGTGTGCATCGGTGCTGTTTTGAAGGCGAAGCCTGGAAGTTGCCAACACAGGAGAGACATTTGAAGAGGTTTTGCATCGTTCCCCAGGATTTGCTAATCCATCATTAGTTGAATATTTAGCAGAAAAACTGGGACTAAGTGAGTCAAATCCACCGTCTTTGCTGAGAAGTCTTCAAATGTAAGTGATTTTTACATTGTTCCTCTCCTGTAGCTCTGTGGAGATTATTCTAATCCATTGAAATAGACTTGTGAGTGGGAGTCCTAGACCACTTATACTTAAACCTTTTACATTTTGACTTGCATGACTGCCGTGTACACTTCCTTAAATATTTAAAAGCAAACTCCTCTAGAGTAAGAAATTTGCATTTGAAATCCTATTGCTCTGAATAAGCAAGACACCTTACCACACACAATGTTTGATATCAGATACTTATGGAATTTATTGTGTAGCTGCTGTCAGCATCTGTGGATTGAAATGCAGGATGCTTAGGTTTTAATGTCTTCTGATATATGTTTATTCACAATGTTTATTTTACTAATAGGTTTGACCCCTTTCGTAAAATAAGAGTCAAATATATGCAATGCTTGATGTTGTGACCCCTGTGTATATTAGGCTCAAAGCAGGTGTGGACTTTGTACATTTTTGTTAGATGTACTGTACTTCTAGAATGGTTTGGGAAAAACTGGTTTCAGAAATATGAAAGAACAGACCTGACTGAGGGAGAGCAGTAAGGCATGGACAAATAATATGTCAACTTATTTCAACTTCACTGCATACTGTAAGCTTAATTTTGTAGACTCAGACAGCCAACTTGATGCTTTTATTTTTTTGTTCCCCACAGTAAAAATTTCAGTGAAGAAGATTTTGCCCCTGCATTGAGGAAACAGCAGTCTGCATCATGGGCCTTGAAATGGTATGTGATACTACTTCTTGTCAAAGCTTGTTGTTAGACTGGGTTGCAGATTATATTTCTGCAAAGAAAACACACATTGAAACAGTTTTTCTACTGCACATGTAGCAATGTAACCAGGATCTTACTGAAAATAAACCTGTCAGGTGAGAATGTGGCAGATTAAATCCTGAGATTCAGTTCCAAAATGTGTGTCAGGTTTAAGGGAGTTGTTAGAATAATTTTAATATCCTGACCCATTCTTGAGTAGAGAGCAAAATTTGTGGTAACACCAAGCACACAACCTTCTGTTTTATAATTGAGTGTTGAGTGACCTCATATTTATCAAGTCATTTAAGCCTCACACTGGAGATGTAACAAGTGCACTTGCTGTCTTTGGAAAGTTAAATGGAGCAGTAACCCTGGGTATTTACTTTTGCTTTTACACTACGCAGTGTATTTGCAATGTTAATTGCAGAAAAGGTTGCATATAATGTTACGTTAAATTTTAATTTTTAAGAAAAGTCTGTAAATGAATTGATTTGAAAATCAACTTATATCAATTCTCTTCTAATAAGTTAATCTCTTGGAAAATGTGCAAGAAATGTTCAGGAAATATGAAATGTAAAATCTCAGGATATTTGTGTGAGGTGAGCTGGTTTGAGTGTGCACCATCTGCCCATATTGCCTGTGCCATCTCTCTAATGGGGATTTTTAGCTTTGAATATAATTAAGCCTGTTCAAGGTTAATGATGGTAGGTCACACATAGTTTTTTGCAGAAAATTGCTTAAACAATAATTCCATAAATGAAAAATAATGTAATACAGTAGCACTGTCAGCAGAATTACTCTTGAGTGCCTTAAGATATTGGATTAAAGAGAATACATTTTTGTGGAATTGGGTCAGTGTCACCTAACTGAAATGCCAGTGTAAAGTACACAGTAACAAGGTCAGGTCTTAACCTGTTCTTTGTTTGCAATCATAATTTGCAAGTAACAGAACAATCTGCATAGACTAATTGTACATACTATTTTCTAAATATTTTTTCTCCAGTGTAAAGGCTGGGGTGGATTATTTTAAGGTTGGGCGCCACGTGGAAGCCATGAATGAGTACAACAAGGCTTTGGAAATCGATCCACAAAATGTTGAAGCTTTGGTAGCACGTGGAGCTCTGTAAGTCTCCTTGTTTCACTTTTTTCCCCTTTGCTGAAAGAGAAGCATCACTGTTTCATATACAACTTTTTGTTGTTCTAGGTATGCAACCAAAGGAAGTCTGAACAAAGCCATAGGGGATTTTGAAGTTGCTTTAGAAAACTGTCCTACCCATAGAAATGCGAGGAAATATCTGTGTCAGACCCTTGTGGAAAGAGGCGGGCAGTAAGTGTTGTGGTTATGAGTTTGGTTGGTTGTTAACAAGTTTTCTCATAATATTTTTTTCATGCCATTCTAGTGAGGACACAAAATAGTGTCTTTCCTTCATGACTATGTGTTTAAGGAAAAAAAGAAGTCCTTGGAAACATATGTCCTTGTGTAATTGGTTTACACTTTGTCCTCTGTCCCAGCTAAAATTCTGGCAAAATATTTGAGGTTTAATCCTCTATATCCTTTTAAATCCTTGATACCCTTTCACTGGTAGGATACCAGGCTTGCATAAAGTCCTGTGAATTGTTTGAATATATTCCAAAAGTTGAGGTTTGGGGGGTTTTTTTAAGCTTTGTAACAAAATTACATTCTGTTACTCTGCTCAAATATTGGTGACCCGCTCTAATGCAAAATTTTAGTTTTGAATATATAGGGAATAGGTTTCTTTTAAGCCCTGTTTTAAGAAGAGAGAGACACGGTATTTTTGAGACTGGAATTTATACTTCAAAGAATAATGTTACAGATCTGAATTAGAAGATGGTAAGGTTAGAAATACTGTTTTGTGTTGTTAGTGAGGTGAGCTGAGATTGATAGAGGGGGCCTCAGAGGGATGCAGTGGTAGTGTCATAGTGGTAATAAGAAATCCTTGCAAATAAGAAAGTTCTAAAAGAAGAGATAGCTGTCAAAATCTGTGTCCTAACTGTATATGAATTATCACTTGAATTTTAGGTTGGAAGAGGAAGAGAAACTGCTAAATGCTGAAAGTTACTATAAAAAAGCCTTGAGCTTGGATGAGACTTTTCAGGAAGCAGAAGAGGCCTTAACAAAACTCCGTAAGCACATGCAGGTGATTCTTTACTTTCTTTTCATAAGGTGCTCTCGATGACAATAAATGAACATCAAAAATCATATTAAATCCTTTGAACTGGGAGGGGTTAAATTGATAGTTTGTCTTATTCTCTGCTTCCCTACTCCACAGTAAATGTTTTCTAGTGAGCATTATGGCTGTACCTACCAGAAGAAAGGTTCCTCTTGGTGACCCCGCTGTTTTGGGATAGTAAAGAAATGCCAGACATTGGAGACAGGGAAAGAGCAAAGCCAGGGATACGAATATCCCATCACACAGCATGATTGATGCGGTTAATTTAAAACATTCTCTGAATACAAATGTTCAAAGTGTAAAACACTTCCACAAGCCAAATAAACATTGTTACCATAGTCTGGCCAGACCATTGGTCCATGGGGTAATTAGAGAGAGTAACAACAGGCAAAGCTAAAGCACAGGGAGCTCGCATGAGAGGAAATTAAAAGGTAATTTAAAGGAAAACAGCAGGAGGTGGAGGGTGGGCGGGCAGACAGTTTGAATATCTCAGCTTTCTCCTGTGTTGTCTGGTGGGTTTTTTCTCTCTTCCCTTGCACGCAGCATGTTTCCCAGGTGAGCCTGCTGGGTCTCTGCTAATCTGAGTTGTCATCTTTTCCCTTTTATTTACTTCCTTTGCATGTGTTGTCTTCCAGAGTGGGTCAAAGAATAAAATAGAGCACTGAGGAACAGGCTTGTGTTGTTCTGTGCTGCTGCATGTGGGGATGTACAAAGGCCGGGGTAGATGGCCTTAGTCAGCAGTTCTTCAGTTGGTGGAGCCATAATGCTGACAGGATGTGGAAACAAGGGGGAAGAGGAGATGGGACAATCTGATAAAACTGAGCTGCAGCACACATAAAGAGGTGTAATTTGAGCAGTACCTACATTTGGCTGCTTTAGAAAGAGGTGTCAGTTGAAATTATGAAGAATATTCACAGAAAGTAGGAGATAAATGTCACTCCTTAGACATTCTGCTGCAGTCATTGATGCAGCAGATAAAGAATATGACAGCTGTTAATTGTTGCTGTGCATGGCCTTGGCTGCAGTGAAGGGTTTCCTTTATTACAGATGTTAAGACAGTTGCTGAGCTTTGAAAACTATAAATCGGACTTCCTGCTCAGTCTGAACAGAGCGACTCTGTAGGGCTGTAAGTGGTAGAAGGATGAGCTCTTAGGACTTAAATAGTTTATTTATCTACTTAGATGCCCTCCTGCATTTACCTGTAATTTAGTACATAATCTGATACTGCCCCTGCTGTGTAGAATGGCTGAAACAACTGCAGTGTTTTTTCCTGTAATACTGATTATGTGTTTTTCTCCAATGCATTTCCCTCTGAATGGAACTGTTGTTGCTGTGCCTGCGTCTGGTGCTGCTCATCACCACCAAACCCCTGGAACTTGATTTCTTACGTAAACTATGCATCAAACTGCTCTGTGAAATTGTTACCAAATGGTTTGTATTCAAACATGGCCAATTTGAATTCGTCTTCAACTGGGCTCTGCCGTGTTTCTCTTGTAAACTACAACAATGATGACACTTTCCCTCAAACTCTTCTGTCTTTCTGTTGTCTGGGGGGGGGTTTGTCCTTATTTTTCTACACGTTTGTAATATTGGGGATTTTTTGCATATTCTATCTATAACTTTTGGGCTCTATGCTTCTTGGTGTGCTGGATCATGGGTACCATTGCAATGACTGGTCAAATACATTTTTTAATGGAATAAAAACTGCAATATGGTCCTTAAATATAAACCTGTCACAATGGCCAATACCAAATTCCTGAATAATATTCATTTTTGGTCTGGGAATCCTGGTAAAACATTCCTGGTGTATACATTTGGATGGGGTTGAATGGGGGTTAATACCCATGTTAACACTACTAATGTAATCTTTTTTATGATGCTTGGGTTCAAAAAAGAAATCTTTGGAAATGAGGGAGAAACAAGCTGCCAAAGAAGAGAGAGAGAAAGCAAAGAAAATAGAAACAAGTGCAGAAAAATTGCGTAAGCTCTTAAAAGAAGAAAAGAGGTAACTGTTACATTCAGTGTACTGGTTGTGTGGCATTAGGTGCAGATGAGACTGTGTGCAATCCATCTCAACAAACAGCAAGCTGGGGAGAACTTCTCCCTGGGTAAGCTGCTTTTCCCTCAGAATGTTTCTGTGGATAGTGTCCTTTAGTGCCTAGAGCCTTTAATTGAGATGTGTGTGGAAGAGAAGTTGTTCAAGGAATACTTTGCAATGTGACATATTTGCAAAGTGTAATGCCACGCAAAATTGGGAAAGAGGTCTTTTACAACAAAATGTTCAGTGGATTTAATCTTAATTTGTTGATGAAGAATTGACATTTGAAATTGTCATGTTAGTCAGGCTCAGTTTCTGTTCCCACCTTACAGTCAAGCTGGGGTACGCAGATTTGCTTGCTATCTGTAGTTTTTGCCTGACACTGAAGGTTATCTCACAGGTTAATTATTTTTTTAGGTTGAAGAAGAAAAGGAAAGTATCAACTTCCTCCTCCTCTTCTTCTTCTTCATCCTCCTCCTCCTCATCATCATCAAGCGATTCATCATCAGATGTATCAGCTTCTTCTTCCTCCTCTTCCTCTGATCACAAGAAACGTAGGAAAAAGCGTCGGCATAGATCTGAGTCTGCTCACAGCTCCAAAAAAAGCTCATCTAGAGCTTCTTCCCATTATAAAGATCAGAATAGGAAAGAGGAGTGGTATTCCCCTCCAGCTGATACCTCTGCTTCCTTTCTTAACCAAAGTTTTGAAGTGGAAAAGCTGCTGGAAAGGCAGGACAGCGTAGCGTGCCCAAAAATGGAGGTAAAAGAGAAAGACAGACACTGTTCTTTTTCGAGGACTTCAGGTGATGATGAAGACACTTTTGGAGGTAGGTCTGAAGATTCAAGAGATTCTTACAGTAGCTCCAGAAGTCAGCCAAGTCATAGCAAAACTGAAAAATACAGTAAACCAGAGAGATACTTCTCCAGTTGGAGGGGTCCTTCAGGTTCGTATCATAAATCAGATTACAAACCCAGGATGCATTATTACAGGAGATTTGAAAGGGATGGGGAGTGGAGAAGGGAGCAGTTCAAGAGACATGGCTCAGGTCAAGACAGGTATTACATGTCCCCAGGGTCTGACTATTCTGGCAGGTCATGGGGGAAGTACAGGTCATATTCTAGCAGCTGCTCACATGAAGGTGACAAAGATTATGATAGTGACAGGCAGCATAAAAATGAAAGTGAGTCTAAGAATAGAAAAATAAGTTATGAAGACACTGATAAAACAAAGGAAGCAGATGAAGAAGTGTCATTAAATGGTACAGAACAAGCAGAAAGTGGTGTTAAAAGAAACCTGCCTCAGAACTTGGTTAACATATTCAATCAGATAGCTGAGTTTGAGAGGGAAAAAGGAAGTAAGCAGAAGAAACAGTGAAGTATCTGAGAATACACTACTTGGATGAGTGTAGTTACGTGAATTTTAACGTAGTATCTTGAGGAAACACAGTGAGAGGCAGAATTTTTTCTGCATTTCAGATGTCAAAGAATTCTAAAAGATCATATGGTGGAAAAAGATGGAAGAATATCATACATAAAATATCAGTTATTTTAAAGACAAGTTTCCTGTGGTCTTAATTTGAGGTGTTCCTGTACAATGTTCTGTCTGATGGGCTGAAATCCCTTGATACCCCTGGGTGTAGTTAGCTGTGCTCACATCAAATATGCACTTTAACAACAGCTGGGCTTGGTTTTCCTTGTCCCTGGGGTACTATTGACTGTTGATATTCTTCTATCAAACTTAACTTCCAGCTATAGAAAAGGGATAACACAATGAAGTCATGTGCCATCAATGTATATAGCCCATTTGATCATTAAATTTTCTTAATTTTTAATTTTTTTGTGTCTGTGTTTTTGTGAATGTTGCTGGGATGTTTCATCCTGGTGCACTGTTACATATGCTGTCTACACCATGGAACCCTGCTGTGTCTGTGAAGGCAAGTATACTGCATGTCCCCTGAGAGTAATGTAAAAAAAACCCCAAAACCTCAACTTGAAGCAGAAGAGCAAGTTTTGCAACACCATTTATTGTCTAGGTAAGCTCAAGTGTGAACCCCTGGTTTGAGCTGTAGTGGGGATTTGCTTTACAATTGCTTGGAGGCAGCAGTTGTGTTGCTGAAGAAAAGTTTACATGGTTTACAGGGAGATCTGCAAAGGTGAGTGGCAGAACCACACAGTGACAATTGTACTTCTGCTGCAAGTTTTCCAGGTACTTCCATGGGTATAAGTTGCAAAAATTAAGAAATCTCAACTAGTGTGGCCTTCAAGAAATGACTTAAGACTTCTTGTGTTTAGAAATGCCAGAGGTGCTGCCTCTGCTGCCTGGCTGTGAGCCAAGAGCTGCTGCTTCCTCAGGGCTGGGGATAGGCAAGGTCAGCTCCACCACTGTGGCTCGTGAAACCTGACTTGAGGCTGAAGTTTTTCTGCTGGGAACTCTGAAAGACAAAAATTTACTAATTAGGATACAGAAATCCCTGCATCAAACAGAGCTGCCAAGGTTGGCTCACCATGAAGCCACCCTGTAGCCGTGTTCATTCCAGAAACCCCCTAAAAGATCTCTGTAGCCACAACCACCAAATGGCTTCAGTAACCACTGGGAATGTTGGATCAGCATGGCACAGGCTCTATTTGAGCATACATTGAATAGGGAAAGAAGGTACCAGTAAAAGCATCAGTACCTTCTCTGTTTAATTAGGAAGGGATGTTCACACTATGAAGTGTAAAATGTGGCTCAAAATTGTCCTTTTATAACATCAAACCACTTTTTTTCTTTTTTTTTTTTTTTAGTTAGAGCACAGTGAAAGTAAATGTAATTATTCTGTAATTATTGGGTTTTCTAAACTGTGATGGATGCTGAAGTAAACTTCCTCATGTTCTAGAAGAATGTACTAAACCTAAAGGACAGAGAAAGGAGAAAATTTTTACAGTCTTCAGCAAAAAGAAAATTGAGGTGACCTTAAGAGTAAAAAATTCTTTCAATTAGGAACTAATTTTGCTGATTCAAACTTGATCTTAAAAAAATCTGAAAGCAACCCAAGTGTTAGAACTTACCTGGTAGGAGGTAGTGAGTTCTGTGGGGACTGAGAAGTTTGACTACCAGTGGGAGAAGCAGCCACAGGAAGCTCTAAATTGTACTAGAAAATTTGGAAAGAAAAAACAAGTTGACCTGATGGTTGTATAATAAGATTGAGATATCAGGAGCACTTACAAGTGCTTGGCATTTGAAGATGTTGAAAGCAAGTGAACACTTCTGTGTTTTCCCATATTGTGAGTTGTCCTTGAAAGACACTCAGTTACAGGCTGGAGCTCTCACTCAAGATTTTAGTGGCAGTTAAGTGGAAAGCTCACCTTGTCAAAGTACATTTTAAAGGCTGGAGCTAAATCAGGATTTGCTTCTAGAACATCAGCTATCACTTGGTTGACGGTTCTGTTGAAAGATTTCAGTTCCCGAAGATGAATGTCTCTCTCTTCCAGTGTTTCTGCTCCACCTTCTCTCTGAGACGCAATTTCTCTGGATAGTTTGGAACACTTAACACAAATATTTTTAAAGCATTATTCTTATGAAAATACAACAGTTTTTCAGAAACCTGCTAAGTTTAACCCACAGAGATTAACCCACACTACTGTCTATAAAGTTAGAAGTTGTTATCAATAAACACACAAACCTGTTTCATAACCCTGTTTAGTTTTGGCTTCTGTTCTTCAATGTCTTTTTTCAGCTGCAAAATAAAAGCTTGTTTTTCCTTCTTTTGCTCCTCGAGGAGGGCCTGCTCCTTCTGTATTACATCAAAGTGTTGTTGCATGCTCTGCAAATTCATTTGGACAGTAATATTAGTTTATAAAGCAGGTTTGGTATCCATTCACTTTTTGTATTTGTGGAAGGGTCTGTTGTCATTACTACTTGTTCTAAATGTAGCTCAAGCAATTAGTTCTAATGTTAACTCAAAACTTTCTGCCAGTCCAACTGTTTGGTGGATACAGACCTGGACAAAGAAACTCCCAGGTAATTTACATCTCTTTTAAAGGTACTGATAATAAAGTTACAGGTATGTCTTTTCAGATATTTCTCATACTGGCTACAAACTATTTACTTGGCACCCTACCAACTTACCAGTGCAGACTATCCTGAAAAAAACCCCAATACTGTTTCCTGTAGAAGAGGGATACCTTTGACTGGAATGAATAAAATCAGCTCCATAAGGGCAGCTGGATTTCTAAGTACATAAATTAATAAACAAAGCTTTAAAAAATTAAAAGGCGGGAATGGGTTTGCTGTAACACCTGTTACATGCTAGGACTTACTCCCTGATGAAGATGTGTCCCTTTACCTTAAGAAATAATATCTCTGAAATAAGACCTATGTCCTGTGGTGGTAGAATAAGCAATAGGAATGATTATTGACTGTAGGCAGTGACTCAGGGCTTAGAACAATTATGTGGAATATGACCATGTGCCTTTGCTTTTTCTGCCTAATAAAATTCTAACTGAAGTGTCACACACCAGAATTAAAATTATAACTGAAATGTCACACACCAGAATTAAGTGTTGCTCTTTCTTAAGGTCCAAGTGGCTTTTTGATAACCAGAGGAACCATGAGTGAGTCCTTGCTATGGAGCCTGAGAACACAAGCTCTTGTTTGCCTGCATTTATTGCTCAGCCTGCTAAATTTCAAGTCAGCTAATTTAATCCTGTTAAACTGAGGCACCCTCAGTGCTAATAAAACTGAATCTGTTCCAGAAAAATCCTGGGGTGTAGATGCCAGAGGTCCCAGGCTGTGTGGATTTTAATCTGTGGTGCTGGGCAGGATGGTACAATGGTGGTGTGTGCTGCACATGTGGCTGCTTTAGTGGCTGCCAGAACAGCAGCTGTCAGTGCATGTGGGATTCTGAAACTTCTAGCTGAATGTGACTAAACTCCTGAAGTTTTGGTGTGATTCGAGAAAATTCAAATAATCACTCACTTTTTGAAAGGGGATGTAGAACCTTCTAAAAATAATATCCTAATAAAAGAGCAGAAAAAAAATTGTAGCACAATTTCCTATTATTTCTCTAGGATGTCCTTCATGGATTTAGCTACATATTGCAGTCTTGTCTGACTGAACTTTTCTTGTATTTTACCTGGAGATTTTCCTGAAGTTCCTTGATCTGTCTTTGTTTGTATTTGTATTTTTCATCAGCATCCTTTTTGTCCTTTTCTAGTTGCAATTTTTCCTCAAGTTCCTCACCTGTGATCCCAAATAATGAAGCAGCATTATTGCTGTGCATACAACTCAATTTTCATTTGAAATTAACTGCATCTCAGAAGATTACTATATTGGTGTTGGCAGTATTTCAGTGCCTCAAGGTTTGAGGGGTTTTTAAATACTCTCCTACTATTTCCAAATCACTGTCAAAAAGTAACTGACTTCATGAGGGAGAACAATTTAAGAGCTAATGGTTCCAGAGCCAGCAGAGGGCACAAAAGTTAAATAATAAGTATTATTTAGAATTAAGTTGTATTTTCTATCTAATTTCTATTTCACATACTTGTCTCAGGGACTGCCTTCAAAGAGTTTTTGTAGTTTCTGTTCCAGTTTTTAAGTACACACAAACTGTTTTCCATAGCCATGATTTCTTTTTGAGCTTTGCAGATCTTTGCATCCAAATCATCACCTTCTTGTTTAAGTGCTTCCTTTTCCTGTGCAGCCTGAAAGCAAACCCACTATTTTAGGTGACTGCAGATATACTGAAAATATTAATTTTACAGAAAATATTTATTGTACAGCAATATTTAGGGGCTAAAACCACTTGAACTGAGATTTGGGTGCCTAGGGAACTGGAGGGAGGAGTTATTGACAGTATTGAAGTTCTTTGAGGTGTTTCAGTATGTGTACCTGTCTCTCTGCCTGAGCACACTTAGTCCTGCCCAGCAGCATCCACATTTTATGGAGATCAAAATAAACAGACTCTTGTTCAAGAACCAGGGTATTGCATTTTGGATAAGGACTGATTTTCTCTTTTTTCCAGTGAAAAGCTGAAGTATACATAGGTGATTGGTAAGTGAAAGGGGAAAGCAGACATTCTTCAAGGTATATTTGCCCCATATGGCAAAATGAATACCTGGAAATAACTGACAGGTAGAAGAGCTTAAGGTCCTGTGAGGTTCCAATAAAGTTCTTTCCAGTTCATAGTGGATTATAACTTGACTACTAATTACTTTGTATTTGTAAATTAATGAGCACTGAAGTTTTCAAACTGTTCAGAATTAAGGCTCCATATAAATTCTTGTGAAATTACTGTATAATTTAAATAACCACTGGTGTCAGATAACATAAAGCAATTAGACTCAAACTAGACAGTAGGCAAGAAAGTTGTCTAAGAGCCCAGGGAAATCTATAGTTTAAATAATTGAATTATAATGAATTATGTTAATAAAATACCTTAATTACATAGTAGGCCTGACTTTTCATCTCCTCTCCTTCAGGTGGCATCATGGAAAGAGTAAAAATTTCATATTTGCATTTCAGTTTATCAATTTTCCATAAGCGATCTTGAAATTCAGCACTGTTTGTTTAGGGAGAAAATACATGGGTTGAGAAAATGCTTGTCTGGTAGTGTTTTGTGGGCAGTTTTTGCTGCAGCAGTTTAAATTCCTGGTGTTATTCCAGCAGCCTGTACTAGGAATTGTACTGGACCTGCTACAGGTCTTGGTGGTTTTCTGTGCTCCCCCAGCCACAACCATCCCTTGTTCTGGTTACCTATGTGCCTTTTGAAGTTCTAAGTGGAGTCAAATCTGTTTTCACATCCCAGATCACTACATTCTGAGAGGCTGTGCCACAGTCCTTCCCCAAAAAGCTGCAGGATGAGTGTGAGGAACAGTCAGAAACAGCCCCTGATCAGATTCTCTGGGAGTATCCAACAGCTGGGTGACACCAAAGGAAGAAGGGCAGTCAGGGCTCTCAGTCATACTAAATCACTCTAATTCCCATTGTGAGGGGTGTGGTCAGCAGGGCAGTTCAGCTGCTGAAGTATTCAATTTTGGCTGAATCTGGGATTTCAGGGCTAAAACCATCCCAGATACTTTGGTCTGATTATTACAGGAGGGAAATGTTATTTCTAGGTCATTGCTTTATGAGAGGGTGCATATGTAATTAGCAAGATTAATTTGTTATATAGGACACATAATGAAAAGCTTATTAGTTAAAAAGAAGAAAAAGCCCAACCAAACAAAATATACCACAAAGCAAACCAGTCTTCCTGGTTGAATCAAAGAAATTACAGTTTTAGCAAGCAGCTGGCAGTAAACCCTCTTTAAAAGCAACTTTTCATATACTGTTTCATATACTTTGGCATACCTCCAGACACATGGTTTCACATGTCCAGATTATTTTGAAAAAGGCAGAGTCACACACAGAGTGTTTACTGTAAGAAGATGTCTGTGACTGAGGTTTCCTCTCACTTCTACTGAGGCTCCTCACTCACAGCTAGGCCACTGATCTCCTGTTCACCAAAGGGGTTAAAGCTGCAGTCTGAGGGGTCACAGATGGGGTCTCTTGCTGGCCTCAGCTGTCTTGGTAGAAAACTTTGAGCAAGATTTATTTAATCTTCAATTTCTCTAATGGTGAAGCTGAGTAAACTGCTTCTTTTTTTAGTAAGTCCCCATAAAAAATGTACTTGGTCAAAGCTGCAAGTTGAATTTCTGCAAGAACAGTTACCTCATGCGATGCCGTTCCTGATCCAGCAGCCTTATCTCAGAATCCAGCATTGCCTTATGGATCCTGATCTCCTCAGTTCTTTCTGCTATGGCTTTCTTTAACTCCAATTGTTGTTTTTCCAGTGTTAGAACTTTCTCTGCTTTATTACACAGAGTATTTCGAAGGCGCTTCAGTTCTAGCTTTAAGAGATTATCTTCGACCATCATCTCCTAATAAATGCCAAGAAACCATTGTTTTAATTAAAATCATTTATAATTTAGTAAATTAATATTTATTCATTATTTTACCTTTCATATATACACAACTGTAAAACTCATTTTGCTCTGCATTTAAAAGTTTTGGCATTTTCTCATTTGCCAACAGTCCAACATGGTGACTGTGACAGGGGTAGATTGTTTCCTGAATCGTTTTATACAAATTCATCAGACTTTCTAATACAGGCTGAGTTTTGGGTTATTAGACTTTTCCTTCTACAACTTTTTATAATTCCTTAAACTTGAATATAAATTGATTCAAATCATCTGTTAGAAAAAAAATGCTTACAGTTTAATAACAATACTTTGCCAAACTTATTAGCAGGCCTCACAGCTTGAGAGTAAAAACTCAGTGTTATGTAAAGACATCCTTGAGCAGTAAATATATTTTCTATTTTAAAGCTAATTGTTTCTCAGGGGGAAAAAACACCAACACTCACTGACCTAGTGGATATTGTAGTATAATTAATGTGGGATTAAACTGATATTTCATCAGACTTCCTGCTGTGGAGGGAGAAGAAGCAACCCTTTGCCTAGTAAGATGACAGTGATAAAGATGACTTCAAAGTCTGGGAAAGAAGCGTCAGTTAGAAAATTATAGAAGGTGTACTGATGTATGCAATGATGTAGCACTGTGGAAGGCAGATGACACCCCAAACAAACAAACAGTGTCCTGTATTAGTAAAGTTGCAAAATAATACTGTACCTGCTTAATGTGTTTTGCTTTTTTTAACTCCTGAAGTGATCTCTCATTGAAAAGATTTAGTTCTTCTATCTTCACTATCAAACCACTTGTTTCTTGTCTTGTCTTATCAATTGTTCTCTTGGTGATTTGGACATCATTCTGTTTCAAAATAAGTTATATTGAGCTTATTTCAGTGAATGTAAATGACAACAAAAGCTACTAGTTAATTTTAAATGAGATGTATTTAAGTCCTGTAACCAGGAACCATCATCATGATGTATCTAATATGCTGCTCTGCAAAGTGCATGGCATGACCTCATGCAGAGTGCTGCACAGGGACTTTGGACAACTTTAAATGCAATTGCACTTATGAATTCATGAAAACTATAAAAGTGACAGCTTTACAAAACAGCATTCCCCTATTTCTGCATGGGCCTAATGATAAACTCAGACATTTGCAAGCAGTCGTCACATGCTGAAGAAAGCTCAGCTTGTCCTTCCAACATTCAATGCTTGTCTTCATGCTAAGGTGTCTCCCTTTTTCTGGAAGTTACAGGGAATTTATGAAGTTTTCCACATGGGTTACACAAAGTTCAGATACCCTTTAGACTAATGCCAACTTTTTAATTACTAAGACCCAATCTACTTAATTTGCTGAGTTTTCTAAATGATACACAGTCAAAATGATGTTCCAAGGAAGTTACCTGAAGTTTCCTGTACAGCGACTGTAGAACATCATATGCCTTTTTCTTTTCTTCTAAAGTTTTCTTAAGTTCAGCAACTTTTCCTTCCAAAACTTCTTTTTCATCTGAATTAACCTCTCCTTCTAACCGTGACAGCCGTCTCTGTATTTGCTGAATATAAAAATCCTGTTAAAATAAATGTGAAGAGAATTAATAGTCTGAGATAAGCAATAAACTTGGATCTAAATGTTGGCTTTAAGACAGTCACCCAATTAAGCTATTGTTTTTATAATAGTTTCTGGCTTTTAGACCTCATTAGCAAAATATCTCAGATGACTGATGAGCAGTGATGGTTTGGGGTAATCTTCTAGAAAAGTAACAAAGCACACTCAGCACAGGCTGCTGTAGGGAGGCTTACAATGGAGTTGCCATCTTGTTGCTACCAGTGGATGCTGATATAAAAGCAAATTTTCAAAGTGGTGCATAGGAAATAGGCACATAATCCAATTAGTAAATAACAGGATTTTGGCATGTACCTCTTGTATTGCTTTAAAAATATACCCTGAGGTGTCTGTGGTTCAGAGGGATCAAAGTAAAGAATGGATTTTAGGAATTAGCGGGAAAAGCAGCAGATCCAAAAAATAACAAAACACAAAAGTGCAAAATGTAGGTGATATATTTTGGCAAGCTTAAGTAATTTCAATTTTATCTGTACATCAAGAAATAGAAATAAATGCAGATTTAAATGATTCTACATAGCATTTCCAAAATGGAAAACTGTTCAAGATTACAGAATTCAAGTAATGTGCTATCAGTACACTCAAGAAACAATCACAGTATGAAAATACATTAATATTTTACCTGGTTATATATTAATTCTTGTTGTTTTAACAGATCTGTGTCAAGCTTGCTCAGTCGACTCTTGAGATTTTTAAGTGATTTTTGACCTCCCTCAATTTCTGCCAGAACAATCTTCTCTTTATCACTCTGCATTTTTAACTCCTGAGTCTTCTTGAAAAGTAGGTCCTTTAACTGTCTCATTTCATTTTCTTTTTCCTGGTGACAAATCGATCATTAAGTAGAACAAAGAAGTAATTAATCACATCAGAGTTAATTTCTGAGGAATTATTAGTTTTTATTAATCATAGATTTAAAAAAAGTATTACAATATCCATTAATATGAACATGGAATTTTGTAAGTCTTCAAAATGGTTGGCAAAACAACTATTTGACTTAAAGAGGAAGTAATAATTTTTATTAATTTTTAAAAAATCTAATCCTACCCTACAATTACATGACTTTTTTTCCTAGTTATAGGAATGCTATCTTTTCAGCCTTTCAGAAAAGTAAATTCCTGACATTCTTTTCAAAAAACCTCCTTACTGCCTCCAGCATCTGTAAATATTTGAGAAATATAATACAAAGCTTTTCAATGGTTTATTAGATCTTGTAATGCTGTGTGTGCACATATATGTATGTGTGTGTTTATCTAAGAGGGAATAATTCTGAAAAATTACACCTTCTAAAATCACTTCCTTTTTCTCAGAGGTAAGTTGCCATTAACACCTAAATCAGTGCAGGAAATGAAGTTTTAGTAGAATAAAAAACAATGCTGAACATTTCAGGTAACCTGAAATGGACTGAATACAATGAAAATTGAGATTATTTTCTTTTTATCACCCTAATAAGGAAAACAATTTTATTCTTTTCCTCCTTCCTTCCACCTCTCCCACTCAAGCAGCCAAAGACCTTCCAAAGCTCAGGCCATTGAGCATGACAGTTTCCTGTGAGGTACATCCTACAACAAGTGATGTGATTTCCCCTTCCTGTTCCAAAGGACTCACTTACACTCAGCTCAAGTCTGGTACAGAATTTGAAGATGTACATTTAAATTAATATGCAAAACACCTGAGAACTCACTTTTCTACACTGATTAACAATGTATTTATTCTGGATTTAATATGTATGTGACCACCTTGCTGGCGGTCACATACATATTATGGTTAAAGATACGTTAATGCCTTCTCTGTGGGTTTGTAATCACATTGCTCATTCTACCCAACAGAATTTGTTTGCAGTTGAACTTGCTGTAAGTGCAATTCCAAATTCAAAACTCAGGATGTAAAAGGCAAGTGTAAGTTTAATATGAAATTATTATGGACTGTAGCATATGTCAGTAAGCTTTGCATCATCCTTGAACAAAGGAACTTTCTTCTAGAAGAAAACTGATTTTTAAGCATGTGCCAAATGTTGAGCTGTATTTCTAAAGCTAATGACAATTATAAATTCATCCACTGACACTGGATCATGATTTGACCTTCGATTCTTTATTGCATATCTAAATTAATTTATTGAGCAGAAATTGTTGCTCTCCCTTTAAGTGAGGTTGTTAAGAGAGATAAGACATTCAATAAGCTTCACTCTGCAAAAATGTTTTGCCACAAATTGATGAAGGAGAAGTACCACAGAACTAGAGAGCTAAAACAAGGACATTACATCCACATTGTTCCTGTAAATATCTCTTCACAGTAAATTAACAGATGCAGCTAAGAGCCATGTGTGTCTAATGCTGATGGAGGGGAGGCTTCTGACTAATACATCACAGACATTGTTCAAGAACAGTTCATCCTAGCTAAAATATTCCCCTGCAGCTGTGGAGCTGCCAAGCTCAATGTCATCTTAGGTTATCTGCCACAGACACGGGTAAAGAAACCCTGCTAAGGCTTTTGCCACCCTGGAAACTGTCTAAAGGGGAAGAAAAGAAGGTTTTCATTTTAATGAAATGCTACACCATTACTTGTTTTCAAATTATCTGAAAAGCCAAAACAGTAAGGCCTGTAATTTAAGAAGCTCTCTATAAAGGAAAGACATCCCATCTCTAGTTTCTGAAAGTGTATTTAAAATGTGTGATTAATGCCTGTGGAGTTAAAAAGTTTGAAAAATGACATTCACTCTACTGCAAGGCATTATTTCACATGCATGCTCTAGGAAACACAAAATGGAGAAGAAAAAAAGAGAGCATACAGTGGTATGAAAGAGCATACAGAGGTACAGCTTTGTTGTCAGCTGTGTGGGACACCTGCTGTCACATTAATTTAACCTGGTCATTCTGGAGCAATGAAAGCTTCAGCATATCCAATACTCAGTCGTCCAGCAAAACGTAAAAGAATATTTCTGTCATGTTCAGTCAGATGCTAAGTAGTGAAAATACTTTAAGAGAATTACTAGCAAAATGACAAAACAGTATAAACATTTCCTGAAAGGTTGCATTACATCACTGCATTTATTCAAAAGCTCTTTACAGTTAAGCAGATGATAATGAATTTTTTTCCTATACTTAATTTGCAATCTCAGAAGTGGGTTTTTAATTTTATAGAAGTATTATTAGGCATGTTAAAAAAAGTCACCTTATTATAGCTTGTATATGCCACTTCCCAGATCAAAATCTTTATTCACAAAAATGAATCTAAAGTGAGCCAGTAATTATTTAACAGTCTCCAAGTTGGTTGTGTCAGAGTATCATGTAGTAGAATTAAAATAATGAAAAGCAGACCAGGCCAGACAAATCTGATTAGAAGATTTCTAAATATTCTTACACTGTTTGCCAAAATCACAGCTCTTTGCAAGTTTATAAATTTTGGTGGTGTTTTACTAGAGCCAAGAAGTTTTTGGTGGCAGTGATACTGACAAGTTATCCTGACAAGATTCTCTTTTAAAACCTTTTGATGGGTATCAGTATCCTGAACTAATACAGCTGGAATTACTAGGATCATTTATTTTCCTCTAGAGTTTTCTCAGCACAGACATAGCTACATGCACACTTCAGTATTTGATGAAATAGCTACATGTCATATCCGTAGTTTCATTTTAATAGAAAATTTTAAAATTAAAGAGATAATTTTAAAATATAGAGCTTGAAAATACAAACAACTCCTCATTTCTAGAAACCATGAAAATCATTTTACCTCAACACTTTTTTCTTCTTCTTTCAGTATTTCTTCCAACCTCAAAGCTTTCTCTTCTGCACTGAGTGTCTCCTCAATCGCAAGCTTCAGTTTATCAGAAAGACTTGCATTTTTTTCATTAAGAAGTTTTAATCTAAAAAAAATGATAAAAGTTAAATGTAAGTTGCCTGGACAATGCTGCCAAAAGGAAGCAGCAAATCTGACTGAGCAGTTGCCTCAGTCTAAATTTCGACCTATGATAAGCAAGGCCCTAATTTTTTTTCCCCCACCCTTTAAAAACAAGGTTTACCAAGAGTATTTTGCCTAAATTACCCAGTACCAAATCTATGCATGGAGTAACCAGAAAGTTGGAGATTTCAGCCATCAACATTATTTAAAGTTCTTTTGTATCTCAAGGATTTGGCTGTATTATTAATCCTTACAAATGTTACCTTTAAAGGTCTGTTTCTTACCTGGCTTGTTTTTCCTGAATTTCTTTCTTCATATTGGTAATTTGTGTTCTCAAAGACTCTAGATCAGAAGCACTTCTGTTCACAATAGATTTCAAAGCCTGCAGCTAATAAATGACAAAATCGAGCAAGAAAGCTCTTACTTACTTTGGTACATGTTAAGATATTAAAAATTATATTTTCCTATTTATTGGAAAGTATTCCATTACTTTTAAACAGTGCTCTCCAAATGAGGAGTGTTGCAAATTCTGAGGCACTGTAAATTGGCCCAGCTAGTAAATTCAACAGACTAATTACATAGTATGAGTACTGGGAAAAATAATAATAATTAAGAACATGAATTATGGAGGTGCTATGGACTGCAATTCTGGTCCAACAGCATCTGTATAAGTACAACCATGGTTTTATAGGGCACAGGTGACTTTCCTGACGTTCTTTGTGAACATGGATAACCTTATATATCTAATAAAAATTTCCATGTCAAACATTGCTTGAAACATAAGATTATTTTGATTAAGCTATCAATGTGACAAAAATACACAGATATTTAATTTGGTAAAAAATACATAACAGCATACACTCATTAAATAGGATAAAAATACTTTCCAATCAGTAGCTCTTTTATCTTCACAATAAGTTTAATTGTTTTCACTTTCACAGATGAAGAAAACTGATCAAAAGCATGTATAGAAGTTTTCTTAGAGGTCACAAGTTGTTGACTGAACTGTCTTCTTTCCTTGTTTCTCACAGGCATTCCACAGATATTCTAACAAGAGGAGACTGTTCTATTATCCCATCATGGAGTATTAATTGTGAAAAACTTCAAGCAAGAATTTCACAGCTTGAGATGCAAACCAATCAGTTCTACAAACCCTCAAGCTTGCATGAATTATAGGGTAATATAATAGCCTACACCTTGTTTGAGCTACCTACAGTTTAATTAGGAGATCAGCCTATGAACCACCTGCTAGAGAAAAGCTATCTCAAAGTTAAGGCAACAGCAGAAGCAGGTTTTCTAAAAAGTCACTAAGCTTGCTGAGTACCCCAGTGTTACCATTTTCTGGTTAAGAAAAAACTTAGGTAATACAAGTGTATCCCTTCTCAGCAGAGCCATGAAACTTAAGTTACTGCTTAGAAATACTTCTACAGGCATTTAAGTAATTAAGCAGTGTAGCAGTGTAGCTCATTCCCAGGTTTAAGTGCAAATTCAGTATGGACAGTATCAAGCATGACTTGTTCACAGGGCAGCCCTGTCCCACTGCCTCTTGATCAGAAAGCCACATAAAAGCACTGGGTGTTTTCCCCAGGAACTGTAACCTGAATACCAGGCCAACAACACACACTTCTGAGAGCATGGGACAGGAGTTGTTTGGAACCTGGAAGAGACTTCTATCATCTTCATACAATTCTGCAGTCTATGTCTGCTAAAGGAAAGAAGCCTCCTGAGGCATCTAACAGTGTTAGACCATTTAAAAGAAAATTCATCCATTTTACACCATTTTACACAACAGAGAATACATTCCAATCTTTTCACCACTCTCAATGACAGGATTAAGTTGAGGTTTCAGATCACAATAAACAGGACTTGGCTGAGAAAAGCAACATTTTGCTGAATTATTAAGAGCCTAGTATAAAAACAAAGAAAAGGAAATACTATTCCTGTATTTCCTCCATCTGGTGCTCAGTTCTAGTTTCAGCCTGTTTTCCTGAACTGCTTGGTCACCCTTACCTCATCCTGCAGCTGAGTTCTTCGAGCATCCTGAGTCTGGAACTCCTTTCGGAGGTTGTTTGCTTCCCGCTCAGCAGTGAAGATTTTCTTTTCATATTCCATGTTATTAACAGTTTCATTTACCAAAAAGGCAGTCTTCTCTCTCAGCAAAATTTCTTTGTTTCGGATCTCCTGTTTTGTCTCTGCAATTAGCTATCAGGATAAAAACATTTTAGATTTGCTTGCATTAGTTGTATTAGATTAATAAAGGGTACAACCAGAAGACCAATTCCTATTATTATTACTATTTGCTTGAGACAGCTCAGTTATCATTCTTAAAATTACTTTATTCCATAGATACATCACACCAAACACTACAGTGATTTTAGACTGGAAATTTCCAAAATATTCCAATAATTTAAAAATAAAAAGACTGTAAACTCTTATGAAAATAATTCTTCATTGATTGAATTGGGAAAAAAGAAGCTAAGCTAAACTTCAGGTAGACTTGAAACAGATTAAATTAAACAGGAAAATTACCAGCATTAGTGATGCTTACTCTACCTGACAGATTTATAACTACTTAGTGAAAATTGTGCATTTTGAAAGGTTAAGTAAAACATTACCTACCAAGAAATTTATACTGTAGTTTTGATGTTAAAAAAAGCCAAAAAAACCACCCCACATCAAACCCAAACCCCCGAAATGGATAAGTTACAGCAGTTTTACCAAAGCACATTGATCTATCTCCTGATCTCTTTTCTGCATCTGATGAATTGCATTCTCCCACTGCCTGATGACTTCTTGCCTTTCTTGATGAACCCTGCGAAAATCTTCAGCTGCTCTGTCAAGCTCCATCTGTTTAAAAGAAAGCACCTTCATGATTTCTGAAGTTAAAAATGCCACATTTAAACAAGGGATCTTTGAGAACCTTAAGCACAAACCTGAGCTGTCATGGTTTCTGTAAGCTCATTATCTAGAGCTCTGCGCTTCTGGTTTGCTTCCATGGTCAACTTTTCTATTTGAAGGGTTAATGTCTAAAATGAAAGGATATGAAAATATATGAAAATATTTGAAAATTAAGTATTTGAAAATAAAGAGATCACATTTTATAAATTTTTAAAGCCCTGCTACAATCAGGGGTTAAATGCTTGAGGTATCAATTTTATTGTGTTCTAGAAAACAAAAAAATGACAGTGCAGCCTCCCAAACTTTCAGTCAATACAAGTGGCCATAAGAACCAAACTGCAGCAAGGCCAAAGTAACCCAAAGTAACATTTACTGTGTGTAAATGTGTGTGTGGTGTCCTTGGCATACAGCAGTCTTCAAGTCATAAAATGGTTCTTCCTTTGGTTTCTGAAAAGTGCTGTCATTTCTACTTACTCCTAGTTTCCCTTCATCTTGCAGTGCATACTTCTGGATCGCAGTGGCATCATTATCTGTACGGTTCAACTCCTTCAGCCAGCTCTCCAGGAGCTCCTCATCCCAGCTCATCTGTTGTTTTAAGTTTTCCAGCTTCTTAGTGGTTTTATTTATAGTATTCTAATAAAAGAAGAGAAAATTAAAGGTTCAATAGCAAATGTGAATAGTAACTGAAGCAACCAGTTCAAGCTACGGTGACAAGTTTACCCACATCTTGTCCACAGAATTGATAGTTTTCTTTTTTATTAATTGTGTGTTATACTTGAGGAATGCTATTGGACATCCTGGTCTAAAAGAAGAAACAAGTCAGCAAGTTGCCACTAATTTAAAATGCAAATAATTTTAAAAAGAAAAGTCAACCTCTGGCAAGATAAACCCATCTGCAGGGTATTTGTTCCATATAAATAAACTGATCTGAGGCATCCAAAGGTAAAGTTTCTCCCTCACTCATTGAGGCCCAGTTGTTAGATCCTTATCCTACATATCAATTTTCAAATGTGACCTCTTCATGTGACTCTGAAGAGACTTCCTGACACAAAAATGAGAGAATCTAGACCCAGACGAACAGTGTGAATATCTTCATCCTGCTACCCATTCTGAGAGACTGGAGATTACAGACTCCAAAAGAAAAAGAGCAAATTTTTTTAAATATAATTAAATAATTAATAGGAAGAAAAAGAGACAGTTCCAAACCCAGAAGACCATCTGTAACTGAGTAGCATTAGAATACTTTGTAAATTAAACCAAATCTTTGATCTTTAATTCATGACCCAAGTTTATTTTATGTAGAGAAGATTTACCACCAACCGTTTAATTTTTAAACCATTAAGAAATTACTTGTGAGAATTACAAATACTGTGAGATGGATGTGTGGCTGTGTATCTGGCAATAAGAACAGAATTCCTTTAATATTTACTAAGTCTTGACCAGTCTGTGCAGTACATTCTCAGTGTCACTCTACTTGCCTGCACAGGGAAAAGCCCATCCAGACCATCTACTGGATTACAAGCTTCATTATAATTAACTATTAATGACTTATACTACCATGTGCAAGTGAGGACAAGCCATAAAATTCTGCAGTAGAGGTGTTCCCTTCCAAAAATTTCAAACCTTACTTCTTGAATGCTTTTCTTTTGTCTCAAGGAAGCTATCTCATCTTGCAGTCGTTTAATCTCATTTTTGAGACGTCCATATTCTCTCTCAGCAAGGGCTTTAAAATGATGTTCAGTTCCAATTTCATTCTCTTTGGCTTTGTAAAGAGACTGCAGAATAATAAAGTTCAGTATTTTACAATAAACAAAAGTTCCATATTTTACAATAAACATAAAGTTCAGTATTTTACTATAAATAAACATCAACAATCTTTTCTTTTACATACAATCAAATCCCAAGTCAGAGATGGTTTCACCATGTAAATGAAGGAATTTTCAGAGAAAATTTATTGGCTTGATTTTAGTATCTCAAATACAGATAATCTTATATATAGATATGTACACATTGCATCAAGTATCCACAGATCAACCTTTTGCATCCCTAAAAACTCAATTCTAAGATTTTTTTTTTCACCCCAAATTCAGAATCTTGACATTTTAACATCAAAATCTTAGTCTCTTGATCACCAGTGACTTTACATCAGATCCAGGAAGAACAGCAAAAAAATATTTCATTGTTCTGTGCTGAGAGAGGCCTCCCCTGCTGGCCTATAGCAGTACCTAGATATTGCCTAACCTTTCTTTCCTTTAACTCAAATTAATTATTGAATCTGGACAAAAAATATAAAGAAGTTGTTCAGCTGCAGGGAAGTTTCCTAAGACTTTTTCACCCAGGATCTTTGATCTGAAAGGTGTAAATCTTTGTCTCAAGATTTTTTAGAAATCTAAACTAGCCCTTTTGGTCAGTTAATTCAGAGTGTAGACTTAGACTTAGATCTTGACCATCTCACTTCATTTTCCATGTCCTTGAATTAAGTCTTTACCAGCATTTCACAACTAATTTTTCACCTTTATAAAAATTATATTTTTCTTCCCTTACACTGGTGTTTTCCTTGACCAATTTTTTTTTATTAGTATTTAGAAAAGTCCCCATTCAGGAAGAATTCTAAAATGTACCCTTCCTGACTTTTTCCTAGGTACAGTAATTTGAATTGGGATGGTCTTAATGCCCATCAAATAATATCACTGAGATAAGTAGTTTAATTTTTGTTTCCTGTGGAAATCCTGGAATAAAGGCCTAACAAATCTCTAACAAAAGTGGCAAAACAGATAGGGACACCAGCCAGAGAGAGATACTCAGGTTTGTTTGACAAAACGGACCTGCTAAAGGTGGTAATTTACCTGAGAGAAGCTTATTTCTTGTCTCACGTTTTTCAAATGAGACGTCATTGCTTCTATGCGCTCCTCACAGTTTGTCAGCTCATTCTGCAGCTCCTCTTTCTCCTTTCGCAGCTTGTGCAGCTGTTTAAGAGTTAGAATCGTCAAGTTACTGTTTGTAGTTAAGTGCTTATTACCTAAAAACAGCCACTGCAATTATTAATGAAAAAACAACGTAAGAAGTAGCTGCTACACTCCTCCAAAGCAGTGAAATGAGGGATTTCAGGAGAAAACCCAGAGCTTTGCTAAGGGAGCGGACAACTCGCACGGCTCCTCCCGCGGGGCTCGGGGGATGCGGGGATCGCCCTCCCGGTTCCCGTGAGCTTTCCTGCTATCCATCCACCCCTGCCTCCCCGGGCTCACTTCGTCCTCCAGAGCCTTGTTCTCGGCGTTGGCCACGGGCACGGCATAGCCGGGCTCCCACTGCAGCTCGGCCAGCACTGGGGCGGCGGTGGGGCCGGGCCGGCTCTCCATGGCCGCGGCAGGGCCGGGGCTGAGGCGGCTCCGGGCGCTCGGCAACGGCGGCTCCGGCCGGGCGGGGCCTCGGGCGGTGCCGCCCCCGCTGCTGGCGCGGGCCGGGCCTGAGGCGAGCGGGGCCGCCGCGGGTTTGCGGGCCGGGGACGGGCGGTGCCGGTCGTGGCCGTGCTGCAGAGGAGTGGGTCAGCCCCGGAGCCGCCAGCTGCCCCTCAGAGCCCCCCGGCTCCTCTGCCAGAGCCAGCGGTACCGGGTCTGGCCCGGCAGAGGGGACACCAAACAGGTGTGGGCTGACACCACCTGCCGCTGGTGGCACCACTGACAGGGCTGGGAGGGTGTCCTGTTCTGAACAGGCCTGTGGTATCATCTCCACGACCAACAGGTGGGTTTCCCGAGCCACGCTGCATACAGGTGACCATAAACACTAATGCAATGTCCCTGTGAATTTGCTTGTCGCGTTGTGAAACCATCCGTGCTTCTGAGTTCCTGTGTCACTGAGTCCCACCATTCACAGACCAAGAGACACACGACACTCTTGGCAGGAATCACCAAGTAATAGAATGGATTGGGTTGGAAGGGGCATCAAAGCTCATCTGGTTCCAGCCCTGCCTTGGATGAGGACACTTTCCACTAGCCCAGGTTGCTCAGAGCCCCATCCAACCTGGCCTGGAACACTTCCAGGGATGGGGCATCCCCAGCAGCTCTGGACAGCATGTGTCAGTGTCTCACCACCCTGACAGAAAAGAACTTCCTCCTAATATCCAGTCTAAACCTACACTCTTTTCGTTTGGATCCATTCCTCCTTGTCCTGTCACTATACACTCTTGTAAAACGTCCCTAAAAAAGGAAGGGTAGCTTTGATGCAGAAGCCCTCCGTTGGTGACAATTGTCTGGCTAAAGCATCTGAAAAGTCGTTAAAGGAAGTAATCAAAGCATGATTCAAAGGTGCCTGAGCCAAACAGCAATAGGCATTTACAAATGTATGGGAGGTGGTTTGGAGGAGCAAGGGGTTTGCAGTGAGATTTCTTACAAACGTGGGCCTATGGCAGACTACTAACACAGACCACAGACAACATGGGTCTTGCCACATATCTATAAATGTATTATGGGATATTTTTAGAGAAAAAAAGTTTGCTGAAGGACAGTGAAATTCAGGCTTGATGAGGATGCACCAAAAGCATAACTTGAAGTGTTGTGCAGATTATTGCTGGTCATTTCACTGATCATCCCCTGAGAACAGTCCTGCATTATTCTTAAAGTATTGAAAGAAAAAGGAACAACAATGTATGGGGTCAACAGTTTCTTGAAAATAAAGGAATGGTATAGGGCTCAGTGCCTCAAGCTACCTGTGAAAAAAATATAGATATCATGAGGAAGATCTTTTTTGCCTCTTGTCTTACCTGGCACGGTTGGCTGTGGATGCTTTTAAGAAGCATTTAATAATATTTTTGAAGCATCAAGGACAACGCAGTGTCTTGAGACAGTAATTGGCAGCAAGCAGCCTCCTGCCACCTTCCTGTTTGCCCTCTGGGATGTATGAAGTTGTGATGGCCAGTGATCTGTGTTTTGATCTTGCTGTGTGTACACTTTCCCAGTCTGCAGCTCAGTGATGATGTGTCTGATTGTGAGAATGATGTCCTGAGTACAGTCAGTGTCTTCCAGAGGAACATGGGATGATGGGACCTTCATTGCCAATGTGGGCAACACAAAGATGCAGATGATGCAGAAGATAGATGAGATACATGGCAATTAAGAAGAAGGGAAACTTCTATAGGAGAAAATTCAGACCTAAGATAGATATAGACATATACATATTCCTGATTCTAGCATACATGGAAGAGACATCTAGAAGCTGGACATGTGTAGCCAGATGTCTTTTCAAAACAAAATCTTAGGACCAGTGGCTCGCAGCCCTGCGTCCGAAATGGGGATTAGCACAAAGGGATCAGTGCAGAGGTGATGCAGGGCTGTGATGAGAAGGAGGGAGCCCCAGCTGAGCCTCAGCTGCTCGGGCAGTGTCGGGTGAGTGTGTGGCCTGTGGAGGACTGAGCCTTTCGTCCCCCTCAGGGGTCATGTTGCAGAGCCACCTGTTGCAGAGTGCAGGGAGGTGACCTGGCTCAGTGGGAAGGTGGAATTCCAAAGACACTACAAGCTACTAGAGAGACAGCAGAGACTACAGTGGCACATCCCTGTGTACATATAAGGGCCTCTTCCTTTCCTGCCCAAAATGAGAAGCTCCTTTTACTCACTATATGTGAAGAATAAATGCAACTTGCCCTGCAGGGGTTTTACACTGACACCTGTAATCCATTGTGGCTTTGCAGTGATGAGCACTTGATAATCTTGTATTCTCCAAGCTGAGCTTTTGTGTGAAAGAACATGAGACCATATAGTGCCTGAGAAGAACAAAGCAAATTATTGGAAAATTGTTATTAGGTGAGCAATCAGTCCTGCTCACTAAGGAAGGCTTCCAGTGAAAGAATAATAATTTATAAACGTGTGTCTTAATGCATGCATGAAGGAAATCAAATTAAATAAATCTTGATGCAATTAGTTAAATAACATACCAAACTTTTGAATTGTTGTCATCATAAGTGTACTGTTCACTTATTTTTGAGTCCAGATTTATACAGTGTCTGAAAAGTATAAAGTGTTATATGAGTAAAGAGTATTATTCCACAATTTTCATGGAAATTCCACTCTCCTCACTTTCTCTTGCCTGCCGATGACTACACAAATCTCCATGATAGGCTTTTGTTCGTATGGTTTCTGCCTTCTCCAGCCTGTGGAAATGTGTTCAGTAAATGCAGAACTGTTTGCCAAACCTGCTAATCCACCAGATGGTGCTGCGTGTCTGTGGATTCAGGGGGGTTTTGTAGGTGTCTCTTTAAAATAGCACCAGTCAGTTATCGACTCTTCAGTTAAAAGAGAATAGAAAATTCCTGTTCATATATATGTATATGTATATCTATCTATCTATCTATCTATCTATCTATCTATCTATCTATCTATCTATCTATATATATACAGAAGGTTGTTTTGTTTCTTTTTATTTTTTAAATTATATCTCTAAAAGGTATTAGAGGAACAGGAGTACTTGTAACATGACAAACTGTTTTACTGTTAACATTCCTTTTGGGTTGAATTTTCACTAATGTAGACATTGTGCCCATTTTTTCAAAATACTTAAATGTAAAGCCACTGTTTCTGGCCTTCAAAAGACTTAAAGCTCTTCTCATACCTGTTAAAAAACATAATTTTTGTTTGTTTATGCCAAATCTCCTTAAATCTGTGTGAAAATAACTATTTCAATTATGGATTTGTTTCTGATACATTTGCTATATAAAATACGGGAACATATTTTTTCCCTGACTGTACATCAAAGCCATCCTCTGAAAAAAGACTCATTTACGGTTTTGCTGGATTATTTATAACTAACCCAGTGTAGCCAGTTGGTGTCAGTTAATAATTGTTGATAATCACTTTCCCATGTGAACCTGCAAGTGGCAGGGAGTTCGATAATGGGATGTAATGGCCCACATTGGATCTTCTCTTTCAGATGGGTGCACTAAGGCTGCTGCAAAATGAAAGAAGCAAAAATAGGAAGAGAGACTGAAGGGACCACACAAGTGAGTGTGAGATCAGGACATGCAGGAAGTCTGAAGGATGGAGGATCTGGCATGATAACAGCTGAAGTATTGACTAAAAGCCCAATGTCTATCGAAACCTGGAGCTCCTGACTTGGGTAGGAGAAACACAATTGCATGAAAAAGGAGAATTGCTCATAATTCATGTGTTATCAGTTATCTTTATCACTAACCAGTGAATGATATAAATTAACAGCAGTTTAATACATTGATTTTTTTTCTGGGGAAAAAGGACAAATATGAACCCAAACCAAATTCTTTTGAAGTTTGAGGAAGATTAAATATATTCTCTTTATCCTGTTCTACACTTTTTGCACAGTTGTGCTGGCAAAGGCTGCAATATTGCTGGTGGCTTTTGTGTGCTGGAGATGGGTGCGAAAGACAAAACCCCATCCTTTTGCCGCAATACTCATTTGAAAAGTTACTATAAGACAATGTGCCATAGGGTCATTTGTTTTACTTGTCGATCCCGAGTTTCAGCGGGCGCTGGGAGGGCAGCAGTGAGAGCAATGCCTTCGGTAAGGCAGGAGGGATTCGCAGAGGGGCAGAGCAGCCCCTGTGCCCCGCCCGGCAAAGGCGCTGCCCGGCGGGGCGGGGTGTGCCCGCTCCAAACGCTGCTCGGAAAACGTTCATGTAAAACCATTACCAGGTTTTATTTAATAACCTCCTAACCCTCTCTCTCTCTCCTCCTCCTCCCCTCTGTTCCTCTAATGCCTTTTACAGCTCTTGCTGCACAGCGTGAAGCCTCAGAGCTGTATTCATCAATGACTCACACCCTTGCTTAGGGGCCAATTTTCATGGAAGCTATACAGGAAAATTTTGAAATGCACCTATCTCATGCAGGGCACAAGATGATTTCTCTATTCATTACTATTCCAAAAGGACTTGTTGTCCTTTGGAAATGTTCACATATTACTTACATTTGTGTGTGCACGCATACATGTGCAGAGCTTACTTGCCTTTAGATTTGAGTGGTCGAAAAATAAAAATGTATTGTTATTATCATTGACACCAGTCATCTGAAGGGTTACTGAGGGCCTGCTTACACTCAGTGGAAGCAGACAAATGCATAGTAAAATACAGCATTGTGTGTTAGGGGAGAAAATTCTACAGACTTCAGCACAAAACTTGTTAAAAATCACCCTCTTGCTTCATGTTTTGAGTAGCAGCTTTCTGAGGAATTTGGGAGTAAAGCCAAGGGCTTACTCGGAGAAACAAAACTGCAGCTCTGAAAGGTTTTTGTGTTGATCAAGGTTATAATACCTTTCAAAAACACTCCAAGAAAACATGTTCATTTCCCTTAAGACACCACAAGTTAACTCAAGTTTTAACTTTGAGGGGGAAGAGAGGTAAAATCATAGAAATTATTATCCAAAATGACCTTTCAGTTTAAAACCCATTTGACAGGAGGGGAATCATTACTGCAAAATTGTCAGTCATACACTAATTGCGTTCTCAGGGGTTGCTAATTATATCCAAAATTACTTTAAACAGTTTTGGGGAAGAGACTGAGACTTATTGCTTAGCATAATGCAGTTTATTTACGCATGTACAAAGTAGCTTACATCCCTAAGGGATTAAACCAATTTCAATATTTTACTGTAAGTTGTAAAAATTGTGTCATGCAATGATGAACCAGAAGTGGTATGAAAAAAGAGGGCAAAGTATACTTTTGCTTTTCCTAATTTTTCCAACAGGCATTTCAAATTGTAATTCTAAAAATAGCTTTTTCCTTTACTTTGTTTCTTAAACAAAATGGAAAAATCTCTTTCTGCGAATCAGGTCCATCCACTGACATTAATTTCTACTTCTGTCTGTGCAGGTGAGTTCCTCAAGAATGTGTTAAAGATCAGATTTGGATTTTCCTTATTTGTTGATGTTGTTTTGCTGAATGAATTTTGCTAACAAAACTTTTTGCTTGAGAGATGAGCTTTGTCCATGGCTTAACAAGAGAGAATTGTCTTACAGGAATGCACAGAATTTCCAAGCTCCCACATGTGTGTTACATAGATCAGAAAAAATCATGGCCCTATCAGAGGCAAAAAATAGCAGTGAGTCCTATGAAGGCAGTAGTGTGATCCTTGTTTTAGAGATGACAAAACAGAGGCATGAAGAAATTAAGTAAATTCCCTCATATTGCCCAGAATGCCAAGTAGGAAATTAGATTTTTTAAATTTGTATTTATTTTTTAATTTTTATTTTATTTTGTTTTATTTCCAGACACAGCTTTAGCACCTCTGGGGAAGTAATGGCTGTTTTGTTTACAATGGGTAGCCTCTATCCAGTTTTTCCTTCCCAAAGTCCATTTGTGCTGTAGAGAATGTGTAGGGATTGTGAATGTACTCCTAAGTAGCATTCCACAGTTGAACTAATTGCCAGGCCAAGCGAGGGACCACAGTAAATGGGTGAATAATTTGATCCAAGATGGATTTGTACTCTACCAACACAGCCTGAAATCTTCTAATGCTTTTGGATTTGACTGTGAGCTGTTCATTGTTGTTTGAGCCTGTTCTTTTCTATTACCATATTTTCTCTGGATATCATTTCTGTGTACCTTATCTTTGTATAAAAGGCCACATCTTTACCATATTTCCAGGGAGTAGTCAGTAGAGGCATACAAAATTTACTGCTGTAGACCAAAATATGACAGATAAAGGTAGTGCATTACAAAGTTCTTGCCCTCAATCATGCAGAAGGCTCTCTATGCTTCTATGAGCAGTGGCACGAATGTGGCTGCACTGTAATGGGAGAAGGGTTAACAGCAAACCAAGACATTTTCTGCAACAAAAAGAGATGGAATCCTCTACAAGCAATTACCTTTTATGTAATAAACAATGTCAGTGGTCAATAGAGGGAGTTTTCTTACCCTAATTTCATTTTATTTAGCTTAAAATAGGAGTACTATTAGTTTGACTAGCAGGTTGGTGTACTGTGAAGCCTGATCATCCCTAGTTGCAGGTTAAATTTAACTGCTAGTAGAAAGGTTGCTCCAGTAGCTTTTGTCTATGCTTTCCTTGAATAAAATACAATAATGCATGCTAGAGCTTCAGTGGTGTTAGATGCTTTTGTCAGATGTGTCCATTGATATGCTGCTGCCTTTTGGAATACAGAGTGTATTGCTTTTTATTACAGATTTTATTGGCATCATGAAGTTGTGAGTAACTTCTCCTGCACATTTAGCTTTTATTTGCTCTGAAAATCCAGCTCTAATTACTAATGGATACTTTCAAAAATAATTTATTTCTGATAAAGGATGCACATAACCTGTTATCATTCGATATCTGCTGGCAGTAGATATAGCACAGCTTGTGCTTTGGCTAACCCTTGAAGGAGGGGAAGATTTAATAAATGAGAAAAGCCAAAAGCTTTTGTGCTTATATGTGCTTAAGGTAATGAGGAATTTAAAGATTACAACAGCATATCTGTCCTTCTACATACGAGCTGTGGCTTTCAATGGATGTGATGTTCCTCATGGATGCAGTGGGATGTGACAGAATGGTCACACAGCTGAGTATTACATGGCTGAGTAGCCCTCAGCTCAGTTACACGACACGGAAAAACAGAGCTTCAAGGCTTTCATGTTTCCTTTGTGTTACATACATCACTTCTGTCTGCTGTCCTTTTTGGTGGAGTGTAGCTGCTATGATCTCTTTCCTGACCATCAGTTTTCTTGTGTCTTCTTCTTTGCTTCAAAAATGTGTTTATTTGAAGAAGAGTTGGAGTAAAAAAATTAAAATGTGGCACAAAATTAGAAATAAAGGAAGTTAGTCCTGCTTAATATTATGAAAGGTTGTATACAAAATCAGTAAAAACTGCAAACCTTTTAAAATTTCTTTTAATGTTGTTTTAATTTTGTTTTCATTTCTGTTTTTATCACCTTCTTTATAAAGAGTGTAATGGTAAAGCAAGGGCAGTGCCACGGAAGGCCAGAGGTCTCCCAGTCACAGAAGGGTGATCAAAGAGAAGAGCCTTAGCCTGACCTTAGCCACAGCCATTCCCAGCTCTTTGCTGAAATCTCAAGCAACTGCAATTTCTTCTGTTCCCTACTTGTATCTGTGAATTATCAGTGCTTGAATCCTGCTGCTTCTGGCTTATAAAATCCTGTATCTGTAGGAAGTTTATTATTTTCTTTCTGTTTTTGGCACTACTGAAGGAATCAGAATATTTTTTATTGTTTATTCCGTAGCAGTTCTGCATTTTGTGGAAGGAAATTTGCCTTCCTCCTGCCAGCATCCGTGGAGCCAGAGAACACCCCAGAGTTGTCAAGGCAACAGCTTTTGCTTGGGGAGCTGCAAAAGAGAAAGGGACAGGAACATCCCCTGGGCTTTTGTTGCAGGGCACAGAAACATGTGTGGTCCCTTTGCTGCAAACACCATCTATGGGTCAGAGAAAGTAGAAGTTACAGTGCAACAAAATGATGTGGGGCTTCTGAGAACAGCAGCCTGATGTTCACTCAGGTCTGGAACCACAGGCCCACTCTGGGCTTCTCTTCAGTGTGTTTGTTCTGCTGTGTTTGTTCTGTTATGCCACTATTTAAATAGTGGCATAAATCAAGTGGGTTTAGGCTTTTGGATGGTAAAGGGAGCTTCGTTCTCTTTACTACCTACAAATTTTAGCAAGCAAAACTTTCTGTTTACAAATTTTATCACTATTCAGAGCTCTAGAAGGGTGTCTATTGGTCTAATTACTAACTGGATTCCTGTGGTGATCTTGCTTGCCTCTGCTGGGGGATTTGCTTCTCATGCCGGACGACCCTTACAGTGAACAAGATCCTTAGAATAAGGCACAGGGCTCACCAGAACCAACAGACCTATGCTAAAATGTACCTGTTACACGCTGTGAGCTGCATGATTCAAACACGGAAAATGCCATTGCAAGAGTTCTAGAAATGCATAGAACCTACCAAAAATTCCTCCATTCTGTCCCAAGAACAGGATCCAAGGACACTGTCTGCATTGTAGCATTCCTGGTATTTCTTCTGCTTCAACAGCCAACAGTTAGAAAATCTTACACCTGTATATTATAGTTGGAATACTCAATGCATATTTCTATGGAGGCATGAACAGTTATGCATTTCCCATTAAACATACAATGAGGC